ACTTTTTCAACTTAAATTTTGAAAGTGTTCCGGAAAGTCTGACACTTTTATATATATTTTAAATTAAAGCTAATGTAATGTACTTTATTATGCGAAAAAAAAATTTCGGACTTTATTTAGTCTTCACGGTGAAAATGGCTACCGAATGCTATTATTGTGTGAAAATTCTCGATTTTATTTTTTACATTTTTAACTTTATAATGCTATGACATATTGAAAAGTGTATGGATCAACATTATTTTTTTATGATAAATAATATTTTTTAATAATTCCTTTTTCATTTTACATACTTTATCTTAATTAGGATATTAATAATGAACTAGCAGATCATGTAGCTTTTGGAATAGTCCACCAATTTTTTAAAATTAAAAAGTATCTAAAGATTTGCATCGAAGCGTTTTTTATGATAGTGATTTTAATCATTGTCAGATATCATTATACTTGATCCATCTATGCCACGTCACCACTGTGCTGCGACCCCCCTGTGCTGGGTTTTTTTTCAACAAATATACTCGGTCACCAGATTCCAGGAAAATTATTGATAAAGTTCGGAAAATTTTTGCCGCTCGCCCGCGAGCGTTTTAAAATTTCGACCGTTTTCGAGAAAAACGCTCGCTGACGCCAGCGTTTTACGACTTAAAGTTTGAAATTTTCATCAGACCCGCCCAATGACATTCCTGAGATATGATAAAAAAATCAATTCAATCCGTTCATTTTTCACCTTTTAACGAGCTTTTTTTCTTTTAAGTCCACGCGCATGGTTTTATTATGCGCATTGATTCATTTCTGCTGATACGTTTATTATGAACCTTAATTATATGGTGTATTATGTATTATTATTAGGACACTATTTTGCATTCGCCCTATTTTAATCAAGGAATGTTATATGTTATATATAAATTTCAAGACGTTATAATTATTTAAGTTTGTACTTTCATTATAAGAACAGTACTAAGTACAGAGTTAATAATTTTCTTTTTTCTCATGTATGATGTATGAGACTATGTGTTTATCTTTTGAATGGGGATTCATCTATGATAACTATGATGTTCATCGTTTAATCGCAGTTACCAATATATTTATCAAAATTAAATTTTTATTTTTATTTTTATTATTAATTTTACTTTAAATTTACAATGTGCTACTTATAATAACCTGCTAAATTTTTTTTTAATTATTCTATAATATAAACACAATTATTATAATTAGATTATTAATAATTTTTGTGTATAACAGGGGTGTATTTAAGAGAGATTGGCCCCTCCTTGAACAAGCGCTATCAATATTTCTTTAGGCAACTTCTAATATATAAGGACCTAATGTCCTTTTTTTTCATCATTATTTTAATTTTAACAAAAAAATTTCTATAACATGTTTAACAAAGTAAAAAATATTAAATTTCCTCCTAAAATAATTTTTGAATAGGCCTAAAGGGAATACCTCATTAATAGGCTTCAACCTTATACCCAATACATTTTACTATATTCTCTTTTTAATTTTCCTGATTTAATAATAACATTTTTAGATATAGTTTTCTATAGTTTTCACTGATTCTGAAGTAATATTTTTTCTGAAAAACACTTATCGTGCCCGGCGTAGCCGGGTACTTCTACCGGAATCAGTGGCCTACTTATGATGACGGCTCGAAGGGCCCCGGGTCTGGGGCGGAGCCCCAGCTAGGCGGAGCCTAGTAGAATAATAAAAAAAAAAATTCAGCAGATTATTATACGCGGACTATGTAAAAAATTTAATTTTGATAAAAATATTGGTAACTGCGATTTAACGTTGGACAGCATAGTTGTCATAGATGAATCCCAATTTAAACTCATAAACTCATACATCATATATGAGAAAAATAAGATTATTAATAATGTACTGTTCTGATAATGAAAGTACAAACTTATATAATTATAACAGTCTTGAAATTTATATATAATATATAATATTCCTCGATAAAATATAATGCTATGTAAAAATGCAAAATAGTGTCCTAATAAAAATACATATTACACCATATAATTAAGGTTCATAATAAACGTATCAGCAGAAATGAATCAATGCGCATAATAAAACCATGCGCGTGGACTTAAAAGAAAAAAAGCTCGTTAAAAGGTGAAAAATGAACGGATTGAATTGATTTTTATATCATATCTCAGGAATGTCATTGGGCGGGTCTGATGAAAATTTCAAATTTTAAGTCGTAAAACGCTGCGTCAGCGAGCGTTTTTCTCGAAAACGGTCGAAATTTTAAAACGCTCGCGGGCGAGCGGCAAAAATTTTCCGACCTTCGCCAATAATTTTCCCGGAGTCTGGTGACCGAGTACTTTCGTTGAAAAAAAAAATTTTGAAAATCCGAGCACGCTAANAGAGTCTAGTGACCGAGTACTTTCGTTGAAAAAAAATATTTTGAAAATCCGAGCACGCTAAGTAATTTTTCAGAAAAGCGTTTTTTCCTTGTTCTATTATATAATAAGATTATGCCAATATTGTAAAATATTTTAATGAATAATATTGGCTTTATTCTAGTAGTTAGAATATTGTGTCCTCATAATTACCTGTTAATGGTAATATAATATAAGTTAAAGGTATTAGTCAAAAATTGAGTTCAAAAAGTCTTGTATAAGTCTGGGTGGTATAATTCAAACCTTCCTTGTACTTAGGTTTTTAATTCAATTTTTAAAAAAAGCATATTAAAAGTAAGGTGGTTGTCTCAAATATTACCAATATAAATTTTAAAACTTACATCGGGGTCTAATTTAGCACTTGTATACAGCGTTGAACCATCAAATATATATCCACCAAAACGTTGACCATGCTGTTTTAACATGCCTTTTTTAATCGGAGCGCGCTCCTCATGAGGTTCAAAGTTAACACTATATTGATACAAACTCCAAGTAGTGTAAGACGTTATAGGAAAGTAATTTGCTAATAAGGTCACAGTAGAACCTGAATTTCCTGTAAATGAAAAATAAATAATTACTGTAAACAGGAGTAGTTGATAATTGTCGTTCCTTTTTAATGAAATGTATCTGATGTCGTTGTCACAAGTAATATTTTTCTAATATACTAGATTTAATTATTACTTTATTATTAATTGTATTATGGAAATGACATTTGTGACGTTTTTTTTAATTTATAATTATATATTCATGAATCCCGTCCAGTATTGATCATTATACAACAATATTGTACGTAGCACATTATTTATAGATAATTAATACGTAGGTATTAATTATCTAGTTTTATTTTAGACAAAAAAATAGCAAGTCTTAGAAAATATTTTATAATTTTGAATTTTGAAAGATTATTACTCGCAAAATAATAATTTATATTTTTATAGTAATATTGCAATTATTTCAAATAATAAGGTACTAGGTATACTGGAGGGGGCTAAAAAATCAAATCAACATTTTTCTTTTCAATTTCCAACGTAACAAAAAATTTAACTTAATAGGAAAGTTATTAACATTTTTATAGTGGCAATAGGAGTGCGACTGAGAAATGTCTAATTATATAAATACTCGCGCTTCTTTCTCTAATCTATAAATTTTAAAATTGTCATATCTTTTGATGCACTGGTCGAAAAGTTATCTACCAGTCATTTACTTAATTAGATTATTTCCTATTTTATAAACTAAATATATATACATATATATATAT